GAATGAGAACACAACAATTCAGGGCGAAATGCTAACCTTGAGATACACCTATACACCCCCATTTATTTTCATGAGCTTTAGTGGGCTTAACAAAGGGCAGAATTTGGTTCACAGTATTTCTGTATGCATATTGTGAGAACATACATGTATGACATAGACCAAAGCACTTGCAGGAAAATGTCATTTCATGTGGAGAGACAGTCAGTTCAGGTAAGCCAATGGGAGCACTGTTCCTGCTGTCGGGGTTCAGCAGGAGAGTGTGTGTGTGAGAGAGAGAGAGACCTGGCTTCTTCCATGGGAAAACCTACTCATAACCCACAAAAGAGGAACAAGAGGATGAGGATGACAGAACAAGGAGTAATGGTCTCCAGTTGCAGTGGGGGAGGTTTAGGTTGGATATTAGGAAAAAACTTTTTCACTAGGAGGGTGGTGAAGCACTGGAATGGGTTACCTAGGGAGGTGGTGGAATCTCCATCCTTAGAGGTTTTTAAGGCCCGGCTTGACAAAGCCCTGGCTGGGATGATTTAGTTGGGTATTGGTCCTGCTTTGAGCAGGGGGTTGGACTAGATGATCTCCTGAGGTCCCTTCCAACCCTGATATTCTATGATTCTATGATTTTATGAATCCAAAGGAAATTCCACAAGTTGAAACTTTGTGACGTTACCACTCCTCTATGCATGATATTCCCACATAGAATGGAAATGTGACACAAAATACAATTCTAGTTCTGCATTGGCCTGCAGGGGGCTGAGGTAAAGTAAAGAGGATTTGGGCACCATATACACATGGAGAGACTGCAAGTGAGGACCTGTCTATCTGTACCCTGTGGAAAGATCTGCATCATGATGTCATTCTTAGCCACCTACTATGCTACTAAGTATGATCCCAGGCACAGCTGTCTAAGCTACCTACCTATACGACTCCATCAGTGTGGATTTGAATCCCACCCAAGTGTTAAAAAATGGATATAATAATATTTTTCTTCTTTCTTTCCAGCCTGTAGGAGAAATAGCTTGATTTTTTTGTGGATTTATTGGTGTCTGAGTCAGTGTTTATGTGTATGCTCTCTGTATTTGAGAATGTTTGCATGTATACATGTGTGAAGAAAGTATTGAGGGACAGCTAAGGTGAAGACTTAAGTTTTGGACTTAGTTCTGAATTAGGTAATCCCCATGATCACTTATCTCTTGAAGGACTGAGTTCTAGACTAGCCCCCGCTCCTGTGAAAGTTCCGTCTCCCACACCCAGGAGTTCCTTTTTTGTGCACACTTTGTTTCAATGGAACATAGACAGGGCCGTCCCTACCCATAAACAAAGTACGCAGCTGCATAGGGCACCAGGGAATTTGGGGCACCACATTTCCTTGGTGCCCTGTGCAGCTGCATGCTGCTCCAGCCCCTGCTCCGCCCTTTCCCCAAAGCCCCCCTGCTCAGCCACAGCCTGCCCCCACTCCACCCCTTTCCCAAAGCCCCCACCCCTGCTCCACCCCGCCCCACCCCACCCCTTCCAGTCCCTGCCCCACGTCCATTCCCCTGTCGACTGCAGCAGGGTCGGGCCTCCACTCACCATCCCCCAAGCCAGCCTCACCGCCCCCGCGGAGGCCTGGGCCCCTCCCCCACCATGGGGGGGGGGGCTGCATAGGGCCCCAGAATGGCTAGGAATGGCCCTGAACATAGATGTTGAGGAAGGCCATTGTGGTAGGGGCTGATCACAGATAGCCATGGCCAATCCTATGGAGGACCTTGAAAATCATGAATTGGACTCTGTTCAGTGTACCAGGATGATGTGTTCATGACAACCTCTGATGCTGAGCAGATGAATAGCTGAAGCTTGTACTAGTTGGAGCATTCTCTGGGTGTGTATTCCTATATGGAATGAGTTCCAAGAATCAACCCTAAAGGTCACAAGTGTAGTGGGTTTAGAGAAGAGCCACAAGAATGATTAAAGGATTAGAAAACATGAATTATTGTGTTAGATTCAAAGAGCTCAATCTATTTAGTTAAACAAAGAGAAGGTTAAGGGGTTACTTGATTACACTCTCTAAGTATATACTTTTCAGTCTAGCAGAAAAAAGTATAATATGATCCAATGGCTGAAAGTGGAAGGTAGACAAATTAAGAATTTATACTTTTTTTCTAGTCTGAACAGTGTGAATAATCACCCATTGTAATAATTTACCAAGGTGGATTCTCCCATCATGGACAATTTTTAAATCAAGATTGGATGTTTCTCTAAAAGATATGCTCTAGGAATTCTTCTCTGGACATTCTATGTGCAAAAATAATTGCTACTGGGAAGTTACAGGAGTAATTGGATACATGTACCTGGCACAGCTAATGGCAAGCAATATGGGAAGTAGGATCCATGAAGTCATAGATTTTGTGGCCAGAAGTGGGCATTATGAGCATCTAGTCTTTCTTCTTTGCTAATACAAGCCATAGCATCTCAACCAGTAATTCTTAAATCCCCTAATAACTCATAGATGAAGCACAGCATATCTTTTAAAAAGAGATCCAATCTTAATTTAAAGATTTCAATTGATGTGAGAATCCACCACAAATAACTTTCACATCTTCCAGGAGAGCTTGTGCTGGATATAAGCCTGGGAATTCTCATACTCTAAGCATATTCTACACTCCATTCCTATTCAGGAAAGCACTTAATCATATATTTAAGTGCTTTCCTGAATTGGGGCCTTAAAATCTTAACATTTAATGTCATGAGCAGCATGTGTACTTTTACATATATACAGAGGAATTGTGCATTAACAGGTCACCTTGAGAAATTCCAGCTTTTTGTGTGAAAGAGTTAAGATGAATTCCTATATTTTCTTTATTCCCAAAGTATGTGTCCCATGATGATGTTATCATTTTTCCATGTCTTCCCTGAAGGATTTCACCACAGGAATTTTGTAGCTATCCTTAATATTTCTCAAAAGTGCAGCAAAATGCTAATATTGTCTCTTTAAGGTATGGTATGTTCATTTCCTGCACATGATACAGCAGACTGAACACAGTTCTTTTAGAAGTATGTGTGAATATTCATGAATGACAAATACTATGGGTCCAAGAATCTCTACCTGACCTGGAGTTCTGGCAATTATTAGATCAATGCTTCTATCAGCCATTCTCTGTGATTAAAATATCTTTACATCTGTGCAGCAACAGAAGAAGAACACAAGATTACAATAGATTTTAACAAATAGCAGCTAACTTTGCATTATTTTCCATCCTTATTTCAGTCTTTGTCATGAGGATGGAATCCTGCTGTGCCATTCAGTTCTGGGTACCAGAACATGAGAAAGATATACTAGAATTTGAATGTCTCATATTCTGTAATATATCATAGTCATGCTTTACTTCTTTCATCTCTCAGTATTTTGCATTTTGATAGGCAAGCGCCACTTTACCTCTAAGGACATTTGTTGTCCTTTAACACAGTGGGTAGCTTTAGTGTATAGCCATCCAGTGGCCTGGATAAAGTCAGACTATATATGAAGTAAAAAGCAGAAGACCATACACAAGCAAACTGTAGTGATTAGATCAGGGACTAGCAGTCAGGACTCTTGAGCCAAATTCAGGGGTAATGCATAATGTATATCTTAAAAACTCTTACATAGACTTCTTTAATTTATTTATACTTAGTTGTAAATGAATATTAGCTGGTGTAATTTATAATCTGTAGAGTACAAGAAAGTGTAAATTAAAGTAGTCCCCATCTTACTTTAATTTACACCTTTTTACACTAGGTGGGTAAGGTAATATCTTTTATTGGACCAACTTCTGGTGGTGGAAGGGCCAAGCCTTCCGAGAGTTCTTCCTCAGGTCTGAAGAAGGTAACTAGAATGTGCAAGCTAAATACAAGGTGGGACATCTTGTTAAGCATAAGGGGGTCACACATTGTAGGAGAGCCCTTAAAATGAAGTGGTCAATAAACTCGTCTGCAGTCGTAGGACAATGGAGGTTAGTAGGCAGCAGGACATATTACAAGGTGTTGTAATGGGCCATAGAAGCAGTCTCTCATTTAAGTCAATGGTTTTTAGTGGCCAGCAGAGTTCTGAATTTAAGTTTCCAGCTCATCTTTTGAAGGTATTGTGCAGATTTCCTTTGAGGACAAGGACTGCGAGGTCAGTATGGAATGATTGCTTTGTGAAAAGTGTTGATCCACAGATGATAGGTGTTTTTGTCTTTTATCATTTTTTTGTGCGAGTTCTTTTGAGATCATAGTAATTGGTCTGGTTTCACCCACATAGTTGTTGGGACATTTGATGCACTGGATGAGGAACACATTATGCTAGACATATGTAGGACACATTGATCTTGAAAGATGTGTTGTAGGGGTATTGGTAATCGTAGCAGTGGAGATATGTCTTCTGGTTTTCCACCTGTGTTTCTGGCAGTCTGGCACTGCTTTGAGTTGGTGGGTGCTGTTGTGTGGGGAACTTGCTTCTGACGAAGAGGGTTGTCTGAATGCCTGAAGAGGGGGTTGGGAAAGATTTATTTCAGGATGTGGTCCTCATGAAATATGGGTTGTAATTGTTTGATGATATCCCCATATTTTAGTGTAGGGGGAGACAAGTAGGGATGTGCAGTTAGTGACTTTGTTTCCCCCCCCACACACCATATTGAAGCAGGTTCTGTTGGGAGTATTTGGGTGGCCTGTTCCATGATTTGATCTACTTTTACACTGGTGGAGTGCTCTTCTTTAGTAAAGATGATTTCAAATGTGTTAAGGTGTGTGTCCCAGACTTTCTTTTTGGAGCATGTTCTGCGGTATCTGTGTGCCTAGCTGTTTATTACAAATTTCTTGGGGTCAGAGCCAGTGCTAGGCATCAGGTATCGGGGGTAGCCATGTTAATCTGTATCTACAAAAACAACAAGGAGTCTGGTGGCACCTTAAAGACTAACAGATTTATTTGGACATAAGCTTTCGTGGGTAAAAACTTCACATCTTCAGATGCATAGAGAGAAAGTTACAGATGCAGGCATTATATACTGACACATGGAGAGCTAGTCATAAGCACACTAAGCAATTGCTTAGGGCCCCAGGCAGCTCACAGCCTATTCACTTTTTATTATAAGAACTTGCCTGTTTTAATATTGGGGCACCCCCCCCCCAAATATTCTTGCTTAGGGCTCCCAGTGGACTAGCACCAGCTCTGCTTGGGGTGTCTGGGGTGGCTACTGGATTTGAAGAGGTACGTGTGATGATCTATGGGTTTCTTGTATATAGTTGTCTATAGGGTTCCATTGCTGAAGCTGATCACAGTGTCCAGGAAGTTGATGCTGGTGCTGGAGTATTTTAGAAAGTTTGATGGGATGGGTGGTGGTGGTTGAAGTTGTGATGGAAATCTAGAAGGGAGTTTAGGTCATCTATCCAGAGGATGAAAATATCAATGGATGTCAGGTATATCACTGGTTTCATGGTGCATTTTCCTAGAAATTGTTCCTTGAGATGGCCCATGAAGAGGCTGATCTATTGGTGAGACATTCTAGTACTCCTGGCTGTTCCCATGGTTTGGACAAAGTGTTTGTTGTTAAATAAAAAGTTATGAGTGAGGCTGAAATTGATGATTTTGGCAATGTGTTTGGGGTAGATTTCTGAGGGTTGCCCATTCTTTTGTAGATACTTCAGGCAGGCAGCGATGCCATTACGGTCAGAGATGTCATAGGGAGGTCACATCTGTAGTGGCAAGGCCCTTCTTCTGGCAATTTGGCTTATAAATTACTCTAATTCAGACTCCCTTGCACACCAGTAGCATTACTGTAAATTGCATTAAGGGAGCACAAGTTAATGTAAAGGAGTCTAACTTACACTCCTTTATATATCACCTCTGAATTAGACCCACAGTTTCTGTTCCTGATTCTGCCACTGACTCACCATGTAGCTTTAAGCAAGTCACATAGGCCAGCATTTTGAAATGTGATTGCCTAAGGTTACATGCATAACAAATACATTTTTATGCGCTCATCCTTAATAAATGGGACTACTTGTGTGAAAAAGACATCAATGATTTGGCTCTAACTAGAGGCTACCAAAACCATTGGGCTCACTGTGTGATTTCTCTGAGTCTTTCAGTGATGAACTCATATGGGAATGGGTGACAGTGGATGGATCACTTGATGATTACCTATTCTATTCATTCCCCGTCTGGAGCACCTGGCATTGGCCACTGTCAGAAGTCAGGATACTGGGCTAGATGGACCTTTGGTCTGACCCTGTAGAGAAGACTCTTTTAGTTATATGTAGAAGATCTCTTGGCTCTTTAGTAGATGCCTCTGCTACTGGCTTTGGTTAGCCAGAAGACATGAAGAAGATGCTGCTAATTAGAGCTCCGTTACTTCTATTATACTTGTAGTTATTGACACTGCTGCTTGGGGCACTGACCTTAGCTAGTGCTCCAACTTTTCCAATGACTGAACAGCATCTGCCCTTGCTTTTATCTCTGCTCTTTCCTTCCTTCTTTGTTTCTCTATCCTTCATTTGGTGGTTGTTGCTATCACTTGCAGGCTCCAATCCCGCCCCCCTCCATCTTTCTTGCATTCTCCCTCCCACCAAAACAAACTAATGTTGTGTGCATTATTTTTATTGTCAAGAAAAGTCCCTGCTTCAAACTTTGTTACAGGGGTACTGTACATGCTGCTTTTGCTGCTTAAATACATTTTTTCATCATTTCTATGTGTGTTTTTCCATATGTGCTAAAAGACCCTACTCCCCCTCGCCCCACTCTTCCCATTAGGAATCTGAATGTTGCTAACATCTCTTGGGCAAAATTCAGCCAGTGTCTCCATGTCAAGACAAGCAGAATTTACTCCATGCCCTGAAGCTGTCCCATTGTCCTCTAAGGTAACACAGGTTTCTGTTTGCTTTATTTTTCATTCATAAGTGTCAGCTTTTCTGGCAAAATTGTGCCAGCTGTCTGTTATGTGGAAAATGTTTTCCACAACTTTAATACATGCTAGTGTGTATGTGTTTGGCCCTCAGTAAATCACAAAACTGCTTTTATAGAAATACTCAGTGAAATGTGATCAGCTGGTCCTACACTATGACAACGTATAGTAAAATATCTAGCATATTGATATTCAAATAGCAAAATCTATCACATATATTATTATTTGCATATTCATATGCTCCTCCCTACAGGCATCAACACAAGTACACTCTCTTAAATGATCATTCAATGGAACATGAAAACAAATACCTAGAAATAACGAGCAAAGATTTCTGATGAGCTACTTGTACACTACACCACTCTAAAACATATTTCCAGTCTTGTTCTCTACTTGTTTGCCGAGAATCTACCATATAGCACAATCATTTAAACCAGAACTATTGGGAATTATTGCAGCATTACAAATAACTTTCTTTTCTCTAGTAGTTGGTGGTGGCAATCAGGATCAGGAAGGAAATCAACCCTGTCAATCTCCTTTTATTTCAATCTAGTTTCCCCCCACCTCACCCCATGTCAGGGGACTGATGGGCCAAATTCTGTGTTGACAAGGTTTAAAGTAAAGGAAAGCTATGCTGTTAAAAGGAGTGGGAGATCTCCCCTCTTCACCTTGGAAGAACACACTTTATTCCTGGGGTGGTAGCACTGTCATATAGGTTGGTGTGGTGAGAGCTCCCTCTCCAGTTTCAATCTTCTTTAGCCGATATCTATGGTGTAACTTCTGAAAATTTCTCTCAGCATTGGGCAGGTTCAGCCATAATAACGCACATCTTCCTGGGAAAGACATCCCCAATCTTTGCTCCTGAATTCTCACCTGTGGATTATAACAAGCACATAGTTTGTTACTGACCTCAAGCAGATTATGCCCTCAGACAACACTATTTTTCACACCTCAGATGTGGTTTGATTTGGTTTCTTTACTGGGTTGAAATTTCTCCTGAATAGATCGGTCTACTGCGATGCAGATGTCTGGCACATATGTTAGTCTGGAAAGTTGTGGATACTCTGTGATGGACTGGATCCTCATTGTCTATTGAAATACATTCTATAAAGAGAAATATACACCGTAACCAACTCATTTATGTATTTTATGTTACTTGAAGTCCACAGGGCAAATTCAGAGGTGAATCTAAATAAGTCTAGGAGTCTAAGTCAGTGTAACTTATACCTTTTCCAGCCATCACAAGGTGTATGTCACACACGAGGATCCCTCTGGACTATCTTACACTCACTCACTTATACCCACTTACCAACGTGTAATTTTTCTCTTTCCCTCCCCACTTATACATCACCACTAAATGAGTCCAGCAAATTTAAGGGAGTCTATATTGGTGTACCATTGCCATGGGCACAAGAAAGGAAGTTAGGAAGAAAAACAATTAACAAGTTATACACATTCTGTCTTTTCATCCTTTAACTTATTTACACCCATTTACCAATCCGTAAGCATGTCTACAGCAGTCCAGCCGAATCTAAGCAAGACTAATCTAACCATCACGTTACATACCACCTCTGAATTTGGCTCCTCTGTACCAAGTCACCAGTAAACATGGGTGGCCTTTTGAACCATTCAAGCCCTGAAATATCAAGGATCATGACACCAAATCATGGATAGGGGCTCCTATTCAAGGAAATAGTCATCCTGATTCATAGTGTATAAGGCCAGAAGGAACCATTGTGATCATCTAATCTGACCTGCTGTAGAACACAGGTCATAGGACTTCCCTGAACTAATTCCTGTTTGAACCAGAGAGTATCTTTTAGGAAAAACATCCTACCTTGATTTTAAAATTTCCAGTAATGGAGAATCCACCACAACCCTTGGTAAATTTTTGCAATAGTAAATCACTGTTAAAAATGTGCACCCTATGTTTAGTCTGAAATCTTCCAGCTTCCTGCTTTGATGTTACCAATGACTGGGAGGGAGGACACTCAGAGGACAACGGCGGAACTCCCTATACTTGGGAGCCAATCTTCTCTCTTTTCCAAGGTGAGCAACCTTGGGGGAATGTCTACATCCCTAAAACTGGAGTAATTACTCTCACGAGCTCCTTACAATTACCAAAACCTCCTGTTTTGGAATGCTCATTAACTTTTACAGGACAGAAGTTGTGATAAATGCTAAGTGGCCCCTCTTCATCTATATGGTGAATGTAGCGGGGGGTCACCCGCTCCTGCCTGGAAGGGTTTAAGACAGCCCTGGAGAGGGCTGGGGCAGGGGGAAAAGCTGGGCTGATTGGAGAAACAGCCTCAGCTGTGGCCACACCCCAAACAGACCCAGCTGGCCCTATAAAGGCCAGGGAAGCAAGGAGCAGAGACAGTCTCTCTCTGCCTTTGGAGAGAGAGGGGCCTGGCTGCTGGAAAGCTCAGGGTGCCTAGAGTGAGGCAGGGCTGGGGAAAGGCTAGAGGGGCTGGGGAGCTCCAGGCTGGCAATTCCCCAGGTTGCAGGGCCTTGTCCAAGGCCCCATAGAGGCACTGGGTTGCAGACAGGGGCAGCAGGTCCAGACCCAACCTTGCCGATGATGAGTGGCTGACACTGCAGTCTGCCCTAGGGTGCGGGGTCGAGTTGGTGATTGGCAGTAGCCTACAACTGAGGTGGGGGTGGGGGTTCCCCGGGGAGGGGAGACCCTGAGACGGAGGGGTGTACTGCCAGGGGCAGCATCCCAGATAAAGGGGCACTGGAGTCCAGGGAGGGACACGGGGGCCAAGCAGCAGCAGGGATACCAGCCTGCAGATGGTGCTCCAAGGCTGGCAGAGCTAATTCCTGGAAGAGACCAGCAGGAGGCGCTGAAGGGGTAAGTCCACTCGCTTACAATGGAACAGTCAAAGAAAGTCACAAGATGCAGTTGCTTTGGGCTGCGTCTCCTGTCAATTTCTTTCCCAGCTCATATGCAGAAGAATTTTCTTCTGACATGAAAACCCTGAGAGAGAGAGAGTCTTTGAACAGGCTCATAAGTTCCTCAATATCATTCTCATGAGTCCAGCGCCAATGACTGGTGACCACATAATACCTGAATAAGCATATGAATGTGGAAGTATTCCCTTGAAAAAAAAGCAGCTTCAGAAATGTGGCCATCAGCCACAGAGCCTAATATGGGCTGGAATCTTCAATGGAAAACAATAGTAAAAGTCAGTCATGAAAACAGTATTGTCATGACACAAATTTCCTGTATAACAATGGTTTAAAAAAAAAAAGTCAGTAGAAGTTCTGTGCATCAACAATATATTATAATGAGAATAAATCATAGGAAACTTACTAAAAAGTAATGGTTCTGTGAACTGGCGAATAAAACTCTAATACACTAGTGATATACTCATAATGCCCGATTCAGCATGGTGCTGACTTCACCGAGAGTTGTTTGGGCTCAGCACCTCCCAGATGGCATTCAGCGCCATACTTGATCAGGCCATGGCAGGTGTAACTGGTATAAAACTATAA